CTCGTGGACTATAGCATTGAGCTTTTTGCGTTAGTTTTTCCGTTGCAAAAATCATCGCTACAGGAATTTTTTTTGGAACAATTAATCAAAGCAGTCAGGCATCCTAAATTAGAAAAAAGCCCTGGAAGAAAAATGGCTGTTCAGGTTAACATGGTTGTATGCTTGTTAGCTATATTTAAGAATATTATGAATGTTTCTGGGAAAAGGGTAGAAAACTCTGTTCCAGCTTTAGCGGATAGGAGGGTTAGCGCCTTGACCATGGAACTACTGCAGGTTCTTTTTCCTCATCAATATAATTAGTCACCTCGCGAAAAACTTACATTTAATCATTTTTGACATTTAGGAAGCCATAGTTCATCCTGACACGTATTTGCGACATGCCGCTAGTGAAGCACTGGGACGTCTGTTGAGTATTGTTGGAGGAAATATGGTACCAACTCAAATGCAACTTCTTGTTGACCAAGTCGTCAATAATAGAGATCCTGATACAAGGGCTGGGAGTGTGTTAGCACTGGGAGCGATTTACAGTCATGTTGGTGGTCTAGCTGCAAGCGGTCATCTCAAAACTTTAGTTGGTATTTTATTATCGCTGAGCAATGACCCACATCCTGTTGTCCATTTTTGGGCACTTTACGCTCTGGCAAAAATTATAGAATCAGCTGGTCCAATGTTTTCGCAATACGTGAGTAGCACGCTAGGCATGATTGCTAAACTTTATATGGCTGACACTCATGAACCGGGCAGTGGATCCACAAATGTTGGTCTAGGTTTATCAGCATATCAACAATTTGGTAAAATCATATATGGATTGATAGGAACTTTGGGTCCAGAGCTACAAACAAATTCAAAAGTACGAGATTTATGTCTTAATCTCATGGTCGAACTTAGAAACGATGAAGATCAGTTGGTTGTGGTTGAAGCAATTCGCTGTCTACAACATTTTATTATGTTTGCTCAACAATATGTGGATTTACCTCGATTGGTTGCATTTTTACAATATCAATTTTCAAGCACAAATCTCCCATTAAAAGAAGCAGCGATCACATGTCTCTATCAGCTGGTACAACGCGATGCAAAAAATGTGTTTGAAATTGCAGTTCCTGGACTGGACAATCAACTTTTTTCATTACTTGACACTGATCCTACAGTTGATGGAGTAAG